TGAAGTCCCTCGGCTCTTAAAGGGGAAAGGTTGCCTACCCCTGTTAAATACTTAACTGAGGTTTTAAGTTACTGTAATGCCAAAAATTTGACATTTGTTGTGATCAGCTGCCCTCAAGTCGGCCCTGATTGAAAGCGACGCTGTGGATGAGATATCTCCAAGCCTTCCTATCCTTGACTGTTCTGCTTACTTCTTGTAGATTCAGGCCCATGGCCTCTCCAGTTGATGTAGTCATCTGGCATGCAGTCTTCCTCTCTTTCTACTGTCTTCTACCTTTCCTGGCATTATTATCTTTTCTAATGAGTTATGCCTTCTGATGATGTGGCCAAAGTATGGCAGCCTCAATTTAATCATCTTGGCTTCCAGGGAGAGTTCAAGCTTGATCTGTTCTCTTGATCTGTAATATAATTTGACATAACATGAAGGAAAATTTCATTGGGGTTTATTGTTGTTGTGTGCCTTCAAGTAGCTTCTGATTTGTGACAGCACTAAAACAAACCTATCATGGAATTTTATTGGTAAGAGTTGTTCAGAGTGGGTTTGCCCGTCCTCTGAGGCTGTGAGAATGTGGGTTGCCCAAGGTCACGCAGTGGATTTCCATAGCCCAGTGGGATTCAAACCCTGGTCCCCTGAGTCATAAGCCAATGCTCAGATCACTATACCATGCTGGCACTAAATGCTCAACTGAAGTTTGCAGTATCCTCAGTCATATTGTCCTCCCCTGTAGCTCTACTTCATAGTCAGAATGTATATAATTTATTTTAGAACAATGATGGGCAATCTTAAATGCTAACATTCCTGTTGGCCAGTCCCAAATTGATACTAAATACCAGTCTCAAGTTTTCAAACATTAAAAGAAAAGTTCTCAGTGTGTGCCATTTGAAAGGATATGTTTCTCTTTTCCTAAAAGGAGAACTCAGAAATCTCCAAGAGAAAATGCCAACTCAGAGCCATAAACTCATTGTAAAAAGCAAAACTCTGCTCACCCATCAAGAATGTGAGGGCCTTTACAGACTGCCAGAAATAATGCAACTTGAGGCCACTTTAAATGTCCTGGCTCAGTTCAATCATAAGAATTGTATTTTTTCTGGGACACTGAGCCTTCTCTGGCAGAGAGCTCTGGTGCCACAATAAACTACAGTTCCCATGATTCCTTAGCACTGAGCCAGGACAGTTAAAGTGGCCTCAAGTTGCACTATTTCTGGCGGTCTGTAAAGGCCCTGAGTTTCTAAAAGCAAGCAAAAATGAAGATCCAACTCTATAGGAGATCAGATGTTTTAGTAAACATGCCTGTACAGCCACTGAGATGCTTTTGAGAATCTGCCTGCATGAATTCATACCAAATTTGTACCCATGGGAATCCTATTTAATCTGTTGTACAGATCATAGAATCATAGAATCATAGAGTTCGAAGAGACCACATCCAGTCCAACCCCCTGCCATGCAGGAACTCCCAATC